GATCTGCTCACCCTGCTAAGTTGGAGCCTCTCTAGACGCAGCCAGTGGGACATGGAAAAAATCGGATTGGAGATTAAAAAGTCCACATTCAGACTCAGGTATGATATTTCCTGATTTTTGCTGCATCAACCTTCACTTTATTCTACATGTTCCTGTGCTCCTGCAGACTCTCTCAGTTGTTATAGTTTCACATTTCTTCTAAACTCATCTCTTTCTCATAACAGGTTAACCCACCTGGCAGTTACCAGTATAATTAATCCCTTAAGCCTTAAATTTAATACTTTCTGTTTTATAGCTGTGTAAACAAATAAATGAGATTTAAAATTCCACCTGACATGTGTGACTCTGCAGGAGTAATGCAACAGCAGGTATTCATTTTTAGCCCCGCCCCCTAATGGCCGCCATCATTGGAAACTAGAGGCTTAGATATTTCCAAGGAGGGGTCAGAGGTCATTTTGCGACCATTACAGGTGATGTAACCAGCACGCGTTACATGTTATTCTTATTTTCTATTCAGTTTGGTGATATTATTGGTAAATTTTAATGAACTTATGGCTAAATTAGAAGTAAAGGCTTTGCCTCATGCAGAAAGTCTCCAATAATGGAAATCAGCATTTTTATCTGACCAGATTCCCTTTGATAAATGGAAACATGTTTTTTTACACTTTTGGCAGTCTGCAAAAAAGTCTCCTTTCCTCCTAGCACTCTGCCCACTAAAACATTTGTGGAACAAACATGCTTCAACTTATTCAGTCCAAATTAGCTTGACTTATAGTCAAGATGTGGATCTATAACGTCTGAGGGTTCATCCAGAGTTTCAAATGGGCTTCATGGTCTTTTGAGTTTATTTTACAAAAAAAAAATTGACAAGGCTAAATATTTTTCATTCTTTCTTTGTTTAATCACCTATAAATCAGACATGGTGACATTTAGAATAGTGGTTCCATCTGAAAAATATTCCTCAAGCCTTTCTGTCACACAAATACAAACAATTATATTTCCAATTTATAGTTGGGGAACTGATTTTTTACTTTAATTCACATATAGGTCTGTGGAGCAGTTTCAGGCTGAATTTGCTCCACAGACCTTCTGGACTTAAGGGGTTAAGGATGACTTTAGCTAAAATATTTTTAAGTAGATATATTTTGTTGATAATTCTTGTTTTAGGTGGAGAAATTCTTTGTGCTCACTCTGTATGCTGTAGGGTTCACTCTCTGTTAAAACCACAGTACAGATTTACTTCCTCACCTAATACCTGCTATTCCACACCTAAACAGGTATTCTAACCACAGTAACTGACATTAACTTTGTTTTTTTATTTTCCATCCATACTTATCCAGAGTTATTTATAGCCAAACTAAACCTTCTGCTGAAAAACATTATTGAAAATAAACTTTTAAGAAATAAAAGCAATAACCCTGATGTCTGTGTTTGGACGTCCAACATGCAGCAATCAGTTAGCTGAGCTGATTCACATTAACCAGCAGTTAGCTGACATCAGTCAAGATGTGCAACGTCTGAAAGATCTGGCTCTATTTTTCCCCTGAAACAGCTGGAACTGATGTGTGAACAGGAGCTAACATGGGCAAGGCAGGTTTGTTTTTTAAAATGCATGTATAGTGCATTTCACTAACAAGACAAATTAAAGCTTTGCACATGAAAATAACACAAGTACAGACAGGTGGAGAAAAGGTTGGATTTGAAGAATGAACTATTATTTCAGTAAATAGGTAATGTAAGATAAAAAGAATACAATTTTAACCTGTATTTATTCTAATTTAGGGTTTCAGCACTTGTTCCGGGAGGTTGTTCCCGATTGGTGGATTATAAGAGCTATACTTCAATAAAACTTTAAATTTATATTAAGGTTGTCCAAAATGAGGCCATTTTATTAATATTATCCTTTAAGTACCTCCTGGTTGCAATCAGAGTGCTTATAATAGCTCCAGCTCTCCTTAAATATCCTGGTTGATGTTAGTGAATCTGAAAAAGCTCAGGCCTTTGGAGGAAGAATAGGATTTATTATTACAATGCTGCCCCCTGCTGTTCAAAGTTGTAACTGGTAACCATTTACCAGACTAAATGTGTTTACAGCTGTGGTCAGGCTTGAGAGTTTGGATGATATGTTTTGACTTTCCTGGATGTTTTAACTTACCTGGATGTTTTGTTGAGCCGTCCCTGCAGAATCAGGTGACATCAGGCGTGATCAGCTATGAATGAAGACGACTCTCAAAGTCCCATTTGTTAGGAACCAGATTTGGGTTTTGAAAAGGAGGACCCTTTTTTTTTTTATTGAGGGGGGGGGCTGTACACCCTGGACCGGACCCTGGGCCCAGTACAGACCGAACCCGGTATGCTTCCCCCCGCCAAAAATATACAAAGGCTTCAAATGGAATAAAGATGAATGTACCCCATCGGGCTAAAGTTGTAGAACAATTTCACAAAGAATATGAGTCAGTCGGTCACATGACTTGAAGAAAAGTCCCAACTTTTGTCTTTAAAAATATCTTTAAAATTGAAAATAGCTAAAAATTGCATAAAAGCAAGTGTGCCTTACATATGTTATCTATTGGCATGATTTTATATTAGTTTGAATATCCAAAATCCAACTTCAAACCAACTTCACCGCGGAGCTGACGCCTCTGTTCTGCTGCACGGTAGTGACCAAAATCCTGGATAATTTAGAAATTCCCCTCGGACATTTTTTTAGGCATGAAAAGCAGGACATGTCCTACATTTGTTGCATTTTTTCATTGCAGTTTTGAGACATTAGGTTCAGATTTAAAATGGAGAAATAATTCATGTGAGAAGTGATGAATTTTTCTGGTAAAATCTTCCTTTAACAGCCTTTCTAAGTTAATATACCTATTTACCCATCTACCTATTCATCTATTTCCCAGTGACTTGGACAAAAGGTCCTGCATATGCACTACGGTTAAAGTTCATTACTATTGTGGAGCAATGGGCCCTGTGCTTTTCCCAGATGAGAGCAGGTTTCATCCTGAGCACATGTGACAGACGTGAAAGGGTCTGGAGAAGCCGTGGAGAACGTTATGCTGCC